AAGAGGCCCCTCTAAACTGTGTGAGCCTTACCACCGACCCTTGGTCAAGTTAGGACCTTCCCATCATCCTGCATTCCCCATATTCGCAGCCCCACCCCGCCCCCGCGCCCTGCACCCTTGCCCAGCACTGCACAGTCTCCGTGACCTGTGAGACCTGTGACAGCTCTGAGAGCGACCAGGCCTCTCAGACTCTCAGTGGCAGGCTTACCAGTGCCCACCCAGCTCTTACCAGCTGCCCTTGGCTGGTTCCAGGCCTCCCTGGGATCCCTGCCTGCTCTCCAGAAGAACTAGGCCTCTACAGATCTACAGACCAGCCGGTCCAGTGGTGCCACAGGAGGTCACCTCTCCCAGTCTCCCAGGGTTCAGACCTCAGTGACAACGGAGGAGAGCTCACAGTCTGTTTCCCAGATACAAGCAGCCAGGGAACACTGAAGGACTGAGAACAGACACGCCAAGAGGCGGTATTTATTCACACTCAAAGGTCAAGTCGGAGCGCCAAGGGATGGAGCCGCACCCACCTTCCTCAGTTCCCCTGACATGCTAGCCCCCTGGTCTCCCAAGCATACTGACACCCACCCACCCTGTGCTCTGTGCCATGGGGCTGTGACAGCCGTGTAGGCACACTCAGATGTCACAGAGTACCCGGTATCACCACAGGCAGAAACCATACCAAAGGTATATTTGGAACCGGTGGCCCAGGCCCTTCTAGGTCCTTCTGTCACCCCAAAGCCTGAGCCAACTCTTGCCAGCTGAGCAGCACATCATTCCGGTTCCCCCTTCAGTCCTAAAGGGCTTTCTCCGGAGACAGAGGCTAGACCCAGTTCTCGGGGATTTCTCTGTGTAGCTCTAGCTGTCCTGGAGCTCACTATGTAGACCGGGTTGGCCTCAAACTCACAGAGATCTGCCTCTGCTTCCCAAGTGCTGGGATTAAAGGCATGCAACATCACCACCCACCTTTCTTTAAAATCTTAAGGCCTCCAATTTAAAGATTAAACTGAGCCGGGCGGTGGTGGCGCATGCCTTTAATCCCAGTACTCGGGAGGCAGAGGTAGGCGGATCTCTGTGAGTTCAAGACCAGCCTGGTCTACAAGAGCTAGTTCCAGGACAGGCTCCAAAGCTACAGAGAAACCCTATCTTGAAAACCCAAAAAATAAAATAAAATAAACTGAAACCTGGTGGTGGTGGCACACATGTTAATTCTAGCACTCAACAAACAAGCAAAAAAATTAAACTGAAGGCTGGGCATGGTGGTGCACACCTGTAGTTCCAGCACTTGGGAAGAGGCAGGGGATCTCTGTGAATTTGGGGCCAGCCTGGTGTCCATAAAGAGAGTGAGCCAGGTCAGCCAGGGCTAAATACCCTGTCCCCCAAAATCCAGAGACTGGTCACTGTTCACACTCAGGTCATCTGTGGACTGATACCTCAGGGTGTCCCTACCCAGAGGGGCTGTCAATCCAACCCCACAGGTTAGTTTTCTAGTTTCTTCTGTTGAGTGTGGTAGAAGCTAGAGTAGACATTCTGGACAGCGGCAGCAGGTAAGGGGCACTAATGGAGTCTCCTGGTACTGTTCTATAGACTGTCCAATTACAGGAATTCTCAGGTCAGGTCCCTGGACACTGTCACCCCAAAGCAGAAGCCCTATCCCCACCCCAGCAGCCCCAAGCGGGGCCATGGGTTGGACAGGGCCTTCCAGTTTTGTGCCCACCATTTCTTCGAGTACCTTGTGTGGGAAGTTCTCAATGGTGGCTTCCGTTGTTGTATTTGGAGTTCAGTGAGGGCTGCTATAGAGTCTCTGGGCCATGTTGGTAGGGTTTGACAGGGGGTGTCCCCATGGAGGGTGAGGACAACAGGAGGGGCTGGGGCCTTGACTCGCTGAGAGGTGGGTGTCAATCAGCCAGGATTATTTATGTTCTCCAGTCTGCCTTCATGGCTAACATTAAGTTTCATTGTATCTTGTTTTGTTTCATGACAGGGTTTCCTTGTATGACTTTGGTAGACCTGGAACTCACTGTGTAGGCCAGGCTGGCCTCGAACTCAGAGACATGCCTGTGAAACACTGCCTGGCCTTTTATTTGTTTTATTTTGTGGTTTCTCTTAAAATTTTTATTACTTTCTGTTTGTTTTGTTTTTCAAGGCAGGGTTTCTCTGAGTCGCTTTGGAGTCTGTCCTGGAACTCGCTCTGTAGACCAGGCTGGCCTGGAATTTAGAGAGATCCACCTGCCTCTGCCTCCGGAGGGCTGGGATTAAAGGCGTGCACCACCACCGCCTGACCGATTTTATTACTTTTAAGTATGTGCACCTGTGAAGTGTGTGTGTATGTGTGTGTGTGTGTGTGTGTGTGTGTGTGTGCGTGCTGGGAACCGAACCTGGAGCCTCTCCGAGAGCAGCCAGCGCTTTTACAGACGGAGGCAGCTAGACAGCCCGGCATGTTTGTTATTTTCCAGCAACAGGAAGGAAGGAAGAAAGAAAGGAGAGAAGTACAAATCGCCATGCCGGTCCTAAGGGGCTGCAGGGAAAGCAGAGTGACTGAGGAAGAAGGGCGCCTGTGGTCTTTCAGTCCTCTCCGGCATAGGAGGCCCAGAGGAGACCGGCTGCGCTCACCTGGTTGTACACTGTGGCCCTGCCCTTGTTGGGGTGTTCAGCAGGCCATGTAGACAGGGCGGCCTCGAAGGGCCTTGGGCAGCTGCGGGCAGGGTCTGGGACCGGGAGCTGGACCCTAGGACCAGGCTCAAGCTACTCAAGATCCCAGAAGAGGCCTCAAGATCTGCACGGGATTGGCGACTTTGAGGAAAGGCGGGAAAAGAGGACAAAGAACGGGTGCAGGGAGGAGGGAGCAGCAGGAGGGAGGGAGGGCCGGAGCAGGGGGGAGGGACTGCCTGCTGGTGGCAGGGTCAAGAGTTCAGGTGCGCGACCCTTGGGGATCTGGGTCACATTTTGGCTCACGTGGGTCGGACTGATCGGACAGACCAGGACCCTTGCACTACTCGTGTTTCAGAACAACTTTCCCTGCCGCCCCACTTTTCTCTGCAACGCCCCTCCCCCAGCGCTGGGTTTGATTAACAGCGGGCTGGGGCGCGGGGTGTGGGGGGGGCGGTGCGCAGCGGAGGCAGGGGGCTGCCGCCTTCTGTAGGCTCGTTCTCTTCTCTGTTACCGGGCTGCCCTGCGCACCCGCCGACAGCTGTGCCTCTGGGCGGCAAGAGAAATTGAGGTACAGGCCACCCGTGGATTGGGTAAGGACGCATCTGCGCCCTGAACAAAAGAAAAAAAAGTCCCCAAATAAACCCTAAATCATTTCGTCCCAGCCGAGGATCCCGGACTAGGAGCAGGGGGAGGGGACAGGAAAGGGTCCTGTGCTTCTGTTTCCCCAGGGCGCGGTGGCTGCATCCCATTCACACAGCCAACCTGTACCTCCTGGCCGGCCACCTGCTCCCAGCCTGCGGCTGGCACATTGGTCCCTAAGTTCCTAGAGTCCCTATTCTGTTCAGTTCTGGGTCCCTTTGTGTTCTTTTTGTAGCCCAGTCTGTGCTCATCCTCTGGGCCTCACAGAAATATAGCCATGAGGTGCACCACAGGACCAGTCTCCCCATCCCTCCTCACATGGCCTCCCTCCAAGGTAACGCCCAACAAGTCTACATGGGTGGAGGGGCAGGCTTGGTTCTCTTCTTCACTGAGGAACCCCAGAGCTGGGTTCTACAAATACCTGTCCCCCAGATCTCCAAAGACAGGAGGCCTGTGTGCAGGGCTGCCTCAGTTTACCCCACTCAGGGGTAAAGGGTGCCCTCTCGACAACCTTTCATTCACTCACACACCACAGGAAGACTCACTGACCTGCAGGACCAGGTGGGGAAAGAACTTCCTTCTCTCTAGTGGGGACCATAGCCCAAACCCTGTAACCTGTAACTCTCAGGTTCAAGAGCAAGCAACGACTCAGACATTAACTGAGTGTCTACTGTGTGCTGGCTCCACATGCCTGAGGGAGGGAACAAGAGCACCTAGTTATATATGGGTTGGGCTCTCCTTGTCTTGAACACCACTCCCTGTAAGGTCCCACACCAGCCCTGGACGCTGAGGGTGACGGCCTAGCTCTGGTCTCAGTTCCTGGTGTCACCAGTCGGCCTCTAGGCCTTCCATCCTTGGGATCCAAAGGGCACTTTGAAGCTAAAGCAGAACAGAAGGGCTTTGGAGAGCTGGGTGTGGTGGTGCACGCCTTTGATCCAGCACTCTGGAGGCAGAGACAGGCCTTCCCTGAGATTGCGTTCCAGGCAGCCAGAGGTACACAATGAAGCCCTGTCTTTAAAAAAGAAAGAAAAAGTGGTAAGCCACTGCAGAACCCTTCATTCATTCATTTGCGTATTTGTATATTCTTGTTTTTGTTTGTTTTGTATTTTGAGACAGAGATTCCTGTAGCCTAGGCTGCCCTCAAACTTTCTATCTAGCTGAGGCTGGCTCTCAACTCCTCATGACAGGTGTGGACCACGCTAGGCTTACTTAGAAGGTGCTTCAGGAAGACTTGTTCTCTAGACTGGCTGGTGACATGGCTCAGAAGAAAGGCACTTGTCACCAAGACTGAGTTTAGTCCCCAGGACCTACATGACAGAGAGCAGAATCCACCAGGCCACACACACACACACCCCAAATAGATAAATGTAGATAAATGTAATGTTTAAGAACCTGTCGCTGGGCAATGGTGGCGCACGCCTTTAACCCCAGAACTCGGGAGGCAGAGGCAAGCAGATGTCTGTGAGTTGAAGGCCAGCCTGCTCTACTGAGCTAGTTCCAGAACCAGGTCAGCAAGGGCTACACAGAGAAACCCTATCTCGAAAAAAACAAAAAACAAAACAAAAAAAGACCTGTCTACTGTCAAAGAACCTGGAGGCAAGATGGCTCCCCACCCCCTAAACGCACACACACCTCAGTATATGCGCCATAAGGTCTTGTGAGACGATAGGATAGACCAAGCAACAAAACAAAACATCTGAACAGACCGAGCCAGAGCTGGGTAGGCAGCAGGTGCGTTTTAATGCATGCCTGCAATAGATAGGACCGTATGGGAAGATTTCCCCTTGTGCGTGAGAGCCCTTAATGGCTAAATCTTGAGTGTCGGTCAGTCACCAACAGAGACAGAGAGACACTGGGCTGGTGAGGAAGCAGAGGGTGCGCTTCATTTCCTCATTTTCAAAAGGTTTTATGAGGCTGGAAGGAGCTGGCAGAGACCCAGAAAACAGGACGTGGGTCCCTTCGCAGAGGCTACGCAAACACCTGCGGTCGCAGCCCCGGCGCCAGCGGAAGCAGCACGAGAGGGGCGGGGAGGCCGCGGTCTTCCCGGTAACCCGACCCTCAGGAATGCGGCCGCCCCACGGGCCCAGCCACCTGGGGACGGAGCCCACACGCCGGGCCGGGGGCAGTCCCCTGCCTTAGCTCCTCCCAGGGGCCTCCTTCGGGTCTTCCCGTTATGTGAAGTTGATGTCAGTTTCTGTCGAAAGTAAAGACTGAAAACGTAAACCAAAAAAGTCAAATTTATCTTCGCACTGGGGAAGGGCCCAAGAACCTGGGGGTTCGAATCCAGGCCCATGAGACATCAGGCTCTGTGTGGGGGCCGTGCCATCTTCAGCCTGGGCTGTGGCACCCTGGGCAGGTCACTTCCTTCCCCAGACACTGCCCTGGGAAGACAGAAGCGAAAATAGGGCCTAAGTGGGTGCTGTTACTGGCACAGCCTCATTTCCACTGACAGACAGAATCTGTCTCCTCCAGTCCAGCCCAGTGCCCCGAGTCTTTCTAGCCCCCTCCTCTCTGTACTGAGGTTTTGAAGATTGAGTCTCTCCAAATAACAAAGTCAAACAATGACTGATGGGATAGCGAGATGGCTCTCTGCTAAAGGCGCCTGCTGCCAGGGGGGCGAGCTCGAGTTCAGTGCACAGGACCCACCTCAAGGGAGAGAACAGACTCCTCAGGCTTCACAGGCCTCTCCCCCCAGAAATGCAACAGAAAATCTTCAGCTCGGCCGGGCAATGGTGACCACGTCTTTAATCCCAGTCCGCGGGAAGCAGAGGGAGATGGATCTCTGAGTTTGAGGCCAGCCTGGTCTACAGAGCCGGTTCCAGGACAGCCAGGGCTTCACAGGGAAAGTCTGTCCCGAAAAACATGGGACTATTTAGCCCTTACTCTTCTTAGTTTTCAAGTAAATACAGAAAGCTCCCCTTGGCTGGCAGGAAAACAGACTCACAGAAAGGTTCCCAACCAGCTCAACCCCCCCCCCCCCCCCCCCCCCCGCCCCGCCTGTCGCCAAGGCCAAGGCCCAAGGTCAGGGTGGAGCCTTCAGCGTCCCCTGCACCTCACAGGTCGTGGGGAGAGGCGGGAATCGACGCCCAGGGCCGGCTGGCCGCCTGCCAGGCCATCACTAGCTGGCTCATCCCTCTCGGGGGCCCCAAGCTGGGATCTGGCCGGCGGATCGCAAACCCTGTATGTGTGGAAGAGTCCTCTGCGGTGCGGAAGGAGTATACCCTTCGCTCTGTATGATTTCTTGGCTACAAAATAAAACCTGGATGTGGGGGCTTCCTGAGGCCACAACTGTGCAAGCTAGGGCGAGGGGATGAAAGAGGTGAAGCCCCCCCCACGGCCCTGAACCGCGAAGCACCTGCCACCGGGTGCTTCTAGTGGGTGACAAGGTCAGATAGGGGTCATGGTGAGAGGTGGGAGGCCGAGGAGGGTTGTCATCTTGAGTGCAGTCCCTCCCACTCCCAGCAAGCTGAAAACCCGGCCCATCAGGCCTAGTGGGCATAATGTACTAATTAAGGGGGGGTAATTACCAGCCTGGATTGTTCCACCAGCTCCACCCTGGGACCCACCTCAGGCCCAGGTGGAGTGTGTGTGTGTGTGGGGGGGGGTAAGAATGTGTACCACCATGGCTAACCAGAGGCTCGGGCACCCAAGTTCTGTCCATGCAGCAATACTCAGGTTGACCGGGACTTTGCCTGTCTTCTCACTCAGAAGGCAGAGGCACTGGATCAGTGCAGAAATCTAGCCTGAGCTACATAAAATCCTGACTCAAAAGAGACTCAAACAAAAACACAAGCTTACCCCCAAACTTTTGTGCCATAGCAAGGCAGTGGTTTGTGACTCCAGCACCTTATCCATGGAGGCAGGCGGTCACCACTAGTCTGAGATCAGCCGGGCTTACACATTTTGCATGGTGGCCTTTAACTACAGAACTTGCCAGGCCCATATCTCTGTAAATTCCAGGACTGTAAAGCGAGACCATCTCTCAAAACACAAATAAAACTCAAACAACAGACCCAAGACCCAACTCTCATGCTGGGATGAGGCGACTATCATTTCAGGAGCTGGGTACAGAGTGAATGCCTGTCCTAACAGTTAAAGGCAAATACATATCGGAAGCAAGGCCCAGGAGCAAACATCGTCATCCAGGACCCAGAAAGCAGAGCTAGGGTTGCTGGGAGTTCAGGTCAGTCTGGGCTACAGAGCAAGGTCCTGTCCCAAAGCATCCAAAACCAGGGCCTTGAGGGCGCTCTTAAAGGTGCCTGCACTGGAAGTCCGAGGACCTGAGCACCATCCCAGGAACCACGCTGTGGAAGAGCTGACTCCCACAAGCTGTCCTCTGACCTCCACAGGTGCGCTACACACACAAACACACGCACACAGAGTAAAATGCAAAACAAACAAAACCGAAAACTTCAGGCCGAAGTGAAGAGGTCAGGCCTGTTACTGAAACACTTGGGAAGGGGAGGCAGGAGGATTGAAATGAGTTCATGGTTAGCGGAGGTTACAGGATAAGACCCTGTCTTAAAACAACCCAAAACAAACGTTTAAACTTCTTTTTCACATAGATAAAAAATAACCACAAAAACTGGCGGCTTCCTGGAGCCCTGACCGAGTGGACTCCACATAGCTCACCCTCAATTTCCCCTCTGAAAGACAGGAAGTCGGGTTTTAGGCATCTCTCTGAATGACAGGACGCAAAGCACTTCCAACAACTTCTGGGGACTCTCCAAGGGACCCCCCCTCCTCCCCCTTCCTGCCCAGCCCCCTCGGCGGGGGCGTGGTCTTTATGGGCGTGCCTTCACAGGGGGCGCGACTTATGTGAGGCCCGGCCCATCACGCCATAGGAGAAGTGCCAGAACAGAGGTGAGAGCATAGACCCACACTCGGTTAAGAGTGGGTCAGAGATACAGTGAAGAGAGAGATATAGAGAGGGACAGAGAAAAAGGAGGGAGAGAGAAAGAGATAGGAGGGAGAGAGAAGAAACGGGCAGAATGGAGGAAGGAGGGGAAGAGAGACCAGGACAGATACTGAGTCCAGCACTTCAAGCTGGGCGTGGTGACCCGGCCAGGCCGCGTTCAGTCCCACCCCCATGACGTCAACCCACAATGCAGCGCGCTGTTGTGCCTTGTAGCGAGCGTCGCCCGTGGCAACAGCGGCCGCAGCAGCCACGAAGTGAGGGCGTCCGGGCCCCCGCCCCCTTATGCAAATCTACGACGTCACCTCGAGCCAATGGCGAACGGGGGCGGTGAGCTCATCGCGGGGGCCGAGGTTATAAGGGTGCGCACGGTCGTTGCGGGGCAGAGCGGCCGGCAGCGG